CTCGCTTTGAAGACCAGGCTGGCCTCGAACTCACAGAGATCCGCCTGCCTCTGCCTCCCGAGTGCTGGGATTAAAGGCGTGCGCCACCAACGCCCGGCATGAATTCTTAATCAAAGAAAGAAGAGTCCTGTTATTTGGGATTTCTGTTTGGAAAGGAGGCTGACTTCTTTAGCTGAGCACATGGATTGTCAAATATAAACCCATGGGTCTACATTCATCAGAGGTGAAAAGAAATGGGCTTATTACTCTATACCCTGTGGATACTCATTTACACTCTTTTGGTTTTTGTGTGCAAATGAATGGTACTGTAATTTAAGGTCTTGTCCTTCTTTTATACTTCAAAAATTGTAGAATTTAAAACTATATTATGGTCTAGGAGCAATGTTTTCCATATAGAAATCACATTCATTAATTTTTGCTTTTTCACCAATGGACATACATGTATACTTATGCTTTTTCTAATTTCTTCCCTCCAAAAGTTGCTAAAATAAAATGTTTTATTTCACATATATATTTAAATGTATTTATAATATATTTATACATTTAAAATATTTAATAATAATAATGATGATAATAATTCATTAAATGTGCTGTACCTTCCAAAATACTTAAGAAACAGCCAATGGCTGATTAGAATATTTAGTATGGGTACTCCCTTTATAAATGATGATTCATGCTATAAGAAAGGCAGGCCCCAATTTCTCATTTACCTCAGCTAGTACACAATTTAAAATCCATGAATTTTTTTCCTGGAATCTATTGCTTTTTACAATACTATTGCCTATAGGTTAATAAAATCAGAACATGAAATCATGGATGAGAGGTTTCATGTGTTCAGATTGCTTCAATAAAATATGCAGACAACTATTGAGAACATATTCCTAGGAAAAGTAGAAGTATGGAATCTAATACAGAAGGTTATAGTCCTGTACCACTCCTTACATGACAGTTGTGACATGTTATTGACACAGAGAGTGATGCATATGGGGCCAGTAACAAGTTCTTCATTCTATATATACCCTTATATTCACCATAGACTTATCTGTCTTTGTGAGTGCTGATAGTATATGATTATGTCAGTGTACTGTTTTTCTGTAAATTAAATTTTCAGGTAATATGACCACAATCTTGATTCGAATATGTTTAAAAAGAAAACAGAAATTTAATAAATTATAAGGGATTCCACTCCATGGAACCCAAGTAAGTTTTTGAGGACTTGTCAAAAAGGTCCTGAGAAGCTTAATGAGGCTTGGAAAACATGGGGGAAATTTGTTATGTTTTTAAGTAATGAAATGAGGATGCATGAGCTTGTGCTTTAAAAAAAAATCTAGTGAACTTTTCCATGGTGATGTATTTCACACAACTCAAAACAAATCAAAGAAACAAAGCTCACTCATGTCCTATGTAGGCCCAAACAAATTCCCTTAAATATTTCTTAAATTTCTCACAAAGTGTTAAACACTATTCATAGCTTTTAATACAATGACATAAAAGTCAATTGATCAGTGTCTCCAACCAAACATGTTTCTTCCATGTTTACAAATAATAATTCAATAACATGAGAAACAATCATTCACCTTGATTAAGTTGAAATGTAGGGATATTTCACTTTACACAGTAAGAAACAAAACCTTACAATCATATGTGATTTGGAATAGAAAAAATGGCAAAAGTAAACATTCATTCATAATAAGCTGTCTCAATCTATTACTAAAGGAATATATACCTCAACAAAATGGAAAAAAGAGGTGACAAGGTAGCAACTAACACTCTGGTCAATGGGGTCAGTGGAAAGCATGAAGACCATTACTAAGGCAGCAATGTCTATATCTACCATATCATTTTATACTCAGGTGTCACTTCCTGCCAAAAACATTTATTTAAAACAAAGACATGAAGATATCCAGATAGTGCAAGAAGAAATGAATTTTTTGTTGTTTGCTGACAAAATGATCTTATAAGAAAAGAAATCCCAATGACCCCACCAAAGCCATCTAGAGCAAAGTATCACATGCAGTGAAGTTAAACATCAAGTCAGTTGACTTGAATAAATGTAAATGTCCATCAACCAATTCATAGATAAAGAAATGTGTGTGCACATGATAGAGCAGCATTTAAACATAGAGTGAAATGCTACTTACTACAGAAAGGCAGCAGTTGTAAATAAGGTTGCCCATACATTGGATATAAAGTAATATAATAGTAGAAGGGAACAGAGTATTGTAAGAATATGAGTAAGACTAGGCAGCAGAGTGGTGAGAGGATCCTCAAAGCTACTATGTTGCAGTTAGCAAGAGGGATTAATAATATGGTTTTGGTGTGGGGAAACAAGTCAATTGCCTTTCACTAGATCTATGTGGGAGGAGTAGATTGGGAACATTGCTAGTGAAGAACAAATGCTGCATCAGAGTTCTCTGCAGTGACAGAATTATTTTACTGTCTGGTGTGCATTCATTTTTACTTATGGTTCTCAAGAATGTATTTTTGAAACATGTAACACACAGAAAATGCCTGGGGAATTTGTCGCTGCTGTTCCTCTGTCCCTGAAAGTTGAATGTGTCTCACTGTGACTCCCTTTTTTGAAATTCCTTGTGTTTGTTGTGTATATTTTTTTGAGATTATCTCTAACAATCAAATACTGCACTGCTGTTGCGAGATTACCCATATTAGAATGTGTGCTATGTTTTGAAAACTTAAGAAAGCCATCCAGGGTTATCATAAATAAGTTTATATTAGTATGTACCTATAGCAACACCGAAAATCATCATAAAGAGCAGTATAAGTGCCAGCACTATGATGCTTCATTGATAGCTAGGGAGAAAAGAGAGGGCAAATAACAAAGGTAAGGGCTGTGGAGGTAGGATACCACATCAGAATGAAGGTCAGAAACTGCAAACTACATGAAAAGGCAGTGAAAAAGATACTTTTCTAACCTGATGGGATACAAAGGCAAGGTGAGAATATGGTTACACCCATGTATTAGAAATATGAAAGAGAAGGAATAAGCACATGAAAGCTAGGACCACAGTTTCTACTTCAGCAAAGACAGATATAAATGTAGGAGAGATTTCTCAAGCAGGATGCAGACATAAGAAAGAAAAGATAGAAAAAGGGCATAGGCAGACATACAAGACAAAGCAGGGCTATCACCTTGTTAAAAGGAATGCTTCTGGTCAGAAAGTAGAATAGTGTGGTAAGCAACTGCATAGAACATCACACAGAGCTATGCTTAGTAAGGCTTTGAAATTCAGTCTAAGACTCACCCTGAACTTAGGGAAATGATTTCAGAAATAAATTGAGGTAATTTGACTTCATAGAAGAAAAATACATTGGGTTTCCACATCACAGGATTAAATTTTTAATTTCTTCCTCAGAGAAATAATATTTTTATGATTTATTTTAACTCAAACAATCTTACTGTCAATTTCATTATATGGTAAAGGAAATAAGTTAAATTTTGATTTTTTGCAATCATAAATAATTATATATAAAAAATTGTTTAAACTTTCTACTGAACTAACAACATAACTATCGTATTCCACATTACTATGACTTATATAAAGAAATGTGAAAAGTCATTGACTAATTAATCTTCTTTAAAACATAAATAAAAAAACAAAAAACGTTTAAAACATAATTACTTAGCAATTATTCAGTATTTGCCAAAAAACATTTTCTTTGAGAATTTATACTTACATTTAAGGTTTGATAAATTACTATGAAGCAGCTAGTTTTTTTAAAGTATTTTTTTTTATTCAAAAACAGCCATATGGCTCCTTCAGGTCTTAGCATATTGTTTTATTCTCACATAATTTTAGTTCATACCAGAGTAAAACTAAGCAGTCAAATATAATTTTTCTGGAGTGATACCTTTTAGTGAAAATCTGTCACTAGAGAATTAAAGTAAAAGTACTCTAGGGTCAGAGCAATATTTCAAGGTAGACAAAGAATATTTGTACTTATTGGTCCTAAACCTTCTCCTCATTGCGTCTTCAAGACAATGATGTAATTGGAAATTCAATGGGTTTCTTGTGTTTACCTTTGCTTCAATTTGTTTAGTATCTGGATTCTGAAACAAAAATTTGATTTTGCTTTTGCCATCATCTGAGGAGCCTTTAAGTTGAGAAAATTTATACCTCCATAGTACAGCCTAAAGGGAGACAGAAAGGGAAACATAAATCAACAAAGTTAATGTCTGCATTCAAGTCAAGAAATTACATAATTAATATATGAAAGTTAATCTTATTTAGTAATACATTCCAATATTAATATATAAATTTAAATGTATTCTTCAAAGCCTATCTTTTAATAGTCAATCTGTTCTTTTACATATATATCAGGTGACTCCCATGTTTCTCAAAGACATAACTTAAAGAAATTCTTCACTGAGATAAGACTATTCCATTCCAAGCAAAATGAAAAATGTTTATGGTAAAAATATCTCTACTCTATGATTATCTAATATTGGTACTGAGAAAACAAGTTCAGTTAAAGTTTCAAGGGTACACCTAAGAGTAAATAACCAAGATTGAGAAAATATTTGTTTCTATCCAAAGTATGTGTGTGTGTGTGTGTGTGTGTGTATTAAGAATATGTAATCAATATTGTTTGTTCAGTGCACTTTAGTTGAAAAATAATCCACTGTGGATCAAGGAAAACACTCCTACATTGCTGGTGGGAATGCAAACTTGTACAGCCACTAAGGAAATCAGTATGGCAGTTCCTCAGAAGGATGGGAATCAATCTACTTCAAAGATCCAGCTACATTCCTCTTGGGCAAATACCCAAAGGATATGTCATTATACCACAAGAAGGACACTTGCTCAATCATTTTTATTGCTGCTATATTAATTATAGCCAGAAATTGTAAACACCCTAGATATCCCCCAACAGAAGAATGGATGAAGAAAATGGAGTACATTTACACAATAGAGTATTACTCAGCTCTCTAAAAACACGACATCATGAAATTTGTGGGCAAATGAATGGAATTAGGTAACATCATCTTTAGAAGGTAACCCAGACCCAGAAAGATAAATATGGTATCCATTTACACACGAATATTAGCCATTAAATAAATAATAACAAAGTTATAATCTGTAGACACAAAGAAGTTAGACATAAAGGAAAGGAATGGGGTCAGGAGATGTAGATCTCCCTGGGAGGGAAAAATGCAATAAATTTTATGAGAGAACTGGGACTGGAAGTGGTACATAAATAAAAGGATCACATAAAGTGTGGGAGGGCAGATGGGGTTGACAGAGAGAATGTGAATAGAGAGAGCTAGAACTGAGGGCCATTAATGGAGCATTAGGGAAACTTCCTAAAATGCATGAAAGCATCCTCATGAAGTTTCTAAACAACAAATTTAGAAGCCCCAGCTGTCCATTTCTTGTCACCAAACAAAGCTTCTAGTACTGGGATTGTGTTACACCCAATTAAGTTGTTGGCCAAAGAGGCCACACAGAAATCACTAAACAACTTAGGCTATTGCCAAGAAAATAGGTTGCTCTTCACAAACTGACTGCAAGGCCCCATTGCTAAAGACAATACCCACACAACTCATTGAATATTGAGAAGTAGAACTGGTGCCTACATAGAACTACAAATATCAGAAGGCTAGCTACATCTAGGAATCTTAATTACTGAGTATCCTTTAAGTGTCACACAGAGACCACAAATTAAGTGACAGAATATTGTTCTTCTAGTGTGTAATGGGTTTTACTGTGAAAACCAAGCTATCACTAGTAATCCTTAGGTAGTAGGGACTTATTAAATGACTATCACAGGTGATAGATATCAAACCATCGTAATTTCTCTATGCATATGCTTGGTGTCCTGCTCATGTGATCAGCTCAGCACACTACTCAATTGGCTTCATTCCTAAACCATCTACAATCTACTTTCCTCATTCATATGTGCCACTGCCTTATTTTTATAGATTTTCTTTTGCAAACCTTGTGCACACATTAATTTGAGAGAAGATTAATAACAGATTATTCATTAATCCCTAAAACTAGTGGGAATCAAAGTTTCAATTTAAACCATGCTAGACATTTTTGATAAAATAGAGGGTAGCAAGACACCTTCATGCAAATTGAAGCCCAATGCAGATGCTGTATCATGAGCTAGGAGATGGGAACCAGAAGAGTTGGAAGATCACTTCCAACTGATAATAAAATGTGGAATACTTTAGCTTTATCACATAATACCCCATAATCACCAAAATTGATAATTCTTATGGCTTTTATTGCTAAGAAAAGTACATTCCTCATCGGGCGGTGGTGGCGCATGCCTTTAATCCCAGCACTTGGGAGGCAGAGTCAGGAGGATCTCTGTGAGTTCGAGGCCAGCCTGAGCTACCAAGTGAGTACCAGGAAAGGCGCAAAGCTGCACAGAGAAACCATGTCTCAAAAAAAAAAAAAACCAAAAAAAATACATTCCTCATCCAGTGGGCATGAATGTTTTGTGAAATGTGAAAGCTATCACAATATACAGCATTCAGGTTAAGTCATGTGTTTATAACAGACACTTGCTAGAATTTCCAAACACCCAAATTGAACCATTCTGTACCTAATTCTGAGACATCAACTATAAAAATCAAAAACATGTTGTCCTTACATTCATCATCTAGATTTAATTCAGAAAAGTCATGTAGGAACTCTTAAAAGTCATTTATAAAGGAAGAAAATGTTCACATAATTATGAAGCTATATTTTTCAGAAAGGATCTATTATACATCTTTCTATCACGTATCTTTTATCCATCTGTTACCTACCATCTATCTATCATATATACACACTATTACAGATATTACTTCTACCTATATATAACCTATCAATAATATCTTTCTATATTTCTATGCATATAAGGGCAGAATGATATATATTTACTTAAGTATATTAACTATGAAAATTCAAATTTTGTTTGGGAGAAACACATTAAAATGTAATTTATGGGATTGATTCAAGATGGCGGAGACAAGCAGACGCAGGTAGGCCTGTGGCAGCGACCCGCAGAAGTAGATGGGTCTGGCAGCAGTGGCTGACAGGGACATTTAGGCCCAGCAGCAGCTGGCGGAGACATTCAGGCCCAGTGGCGGCCCACAGAGGTGGACAGGCCCTGCGGCAGAGATAAGCAGACAGAGGTGGACAGGACCGGCGGTAGCGGCCAACAGAGACATTCAGGCCTGGTGGCGGCCCACAAAGGTGGACAGGCCACGCGGCGGAGAAAGGCGGATGCAGGTCGGCGACTTGCGGAGGTGGAAGGGCCCGGTGGCAGCAGCCGACAGGGACATACAGGCCCAGCGACAACCGGCAGAGACATACAGGCCCCGTGGCAGTTCGCAGAGGTGGATGGGCCCGGCAGCAGTGACGAGCAGAGGTAGGTAGGCCCATGGCGGCAGCCGGCAGAGACATACAGGCCTATTGGTCGCCCGCAGAGGTAGACAGACCCAGCGGCAGCTGACAGGGACATATAGGCCCAGCGGTGGAGACAAGTGGACGCAGGTGGGCCTGTGGCGGTGGGCCACAGGGGTGGACAGGCCCGGGGACGGAGAGGGGCGGACACAGCTTGGAACGGGGACGCCCCTAGCCCCAACACCTGGGGAAGAGACTATCTCCGTGGGTCAGAACCAGGGCGAGTCTGGACACTCTGTCTGGGGACAACCCAGGGCCCAACTGCTGATCCTGTGAAACCCAACAACTTGGAGGTGTTGGTGAGACTACCCTGCTCAGCTGAAACTCATCTGGGAGAGGATTCAGATGCCTACAGTTGGAAGTCT